GATGGTTAATCGTGCTAATTGTAATCTAACATAGACACATTAAAATTACATTTGTCACCGTTTTTATTTCTCACTCCGTTCAATCACACCTCATAAATTGGCATCGAATCAAAACGGTACGGTAGATTTTAATTTTCATTCAAATTTCGTTGAAATTTCTTATCAGTAGAAGAGTGAAATTCCCTTCGTTCAGTTTTTCAATTTAAATTCAAAATTAATATAGATTTCATTGAAATTTCTTATCAAAGGAAGAGTGAAATTTCACTTGGGTTGTGAAAAACCCAAAGACCCAAGGATTATATCTCCTCAATTGGCATCGAGTCAAAACGGTACAGCAGATTTCAATTTTAATTCAAATTTCAGCTTTTCAGTTTCAACTCAAATTTAATACAAATTTCATTGAAATCTGTTACCAATGAAAGTGTGAAATTTCACTTGGGTCGTCAAAGACCCAAAGACCCAACGATTACATCTCCTCAATTGGCATCGACTCAAAACGCCACGAGATTTCAATTTTAACTCAAATTTAATATAAATTTCATCGCAACTCCTTATCAATGAAACATTGAAATTCCCTCCGTTCACCGTTTCCCTTTCATCTCAAATTTAACACAAATTCCATTAAAATCTGTTATCAACAGAGGAGCGAAAATTCTCCCCGTTACCATTCGAAATTTCAAAGTCACCGTGCTACCGTAGGGAGTTGAACCGAGGCTGGTACAGCACTGACGATCGAAGAACACGCAAACACTCGGTTTTCTGCACCGTTTGCATTGCAACCTGCTTGAATACGTAGCGGCCGTTGCCGCTACGGCTTAACCTACCATTCATACCTCGCGCGACCGTGCAAGGCGAGGCAATGGTAAGCAAGGTCATCGTGTTTTGGCAAAGTGGAAGAGCGCCGGCGCACGGTGCAGAATTTCAAATGGACCGAGTGAGTCAGAAATTTAATTTTAATTGATACGTCGCCTCGGTCTGGTGCCGCGTATGAGAGCCTCTTTGTTTTCGAATATTACGTGACATTAGAGGATGCGCGCGAGTTTCACGATACCTACGTACGAAAAGAAAGAAAGAAAAAAACAAAAACAGGAAGTATTTCAGAGAAATACTTTGGAAGCCTTAATTCGTGGAATATTGTATTCGTTCGTTCATGCCCGTGCTCTGTTTTTGTTACGTTTCGTTGTTAGGTTTTTCTGTGGGTTTTTGTTTTGACTTTGAGAAGTATATAAATGTTGCGTTTTGAATAGGTACGAACAGTTGTAGAGTGACTTTCGTGTTGGTAACGTAGATGCGAATTTTAAGAGTTATTTCGTTAATTCGGTAGTGATTAGTAATGTCTGATTACGTTGTGGTCTATTAAATATAAGGGAAAACATCGTTTCACGAGTAATTATGAATAATAGAGGGCTATTTGAATTTTCTTGCTCTCTTTTTTTTTTGGTAATTTGGGTCGTTTAAGAATTTTCTTTTGAAACGTCGGTTTTTCTTATTTAAGGAAGCTGAATTATTGCTTTTTATTCTTCGAGGTCGTAGTTGAATTACGATTAATAATAATGGAAAATTAGCAGTGAACGTAATTAAATATCAATTACGGTAAATTTTATTCAGACTCGAGGAATTGCAATAAATAACAGTATTGATCAATATTGAATAGTAATATAAATATTAAACACATACGAGTGGTTCATTTAACACGAAATGAGTTTAATTATAAAATCGCATAAATTGATCGAATTTTTTAAAGGAGTATCCAGAACAGCAAGAATTATAATTAAATGCTATAATATTGTGTTATTTTAATATTTAAATAGTTCGAGGTTGAACGAACCTTTCGTAAATATGTATAAAATAAGCAGAATGACAGAAGTTGAATTTCAGTTGGTTTAGAAGTGAAGATTGAGACAATCGCGGCAGAAAATTCGCGTGTAGGCGCCACTGTCAGCCATTATGTGTCTTTTACATGAATATTAGCTGTTGCTATTCAGGAATTTTGGCGTAAAATACGTTTTGCCGTTTGTTACAAATGCATAGATCAGATTGCATTTTCTTATACGATAAATTTTCAAATTTACCGTCGCCTAACTTAAGATTGCGAATTTAGGTACGGCGCGAAATAAAGTTTAATACAAGTAGTAAATTACTAGCAATAGAAACACAGTTTCTACTACATCACCTTCAATCTCAATAATTCTCTCTTTAAATTTTTTCACTTGTCACTTTATCCCAGTCTGCTTTTTTAATTCGTTAATTTCATTAGCCGTCGTTCTGTTATTTACTCGTTTGCACCTGTGAAATATTCAAATCGATTTGCTCCAAATACTTTCACACCTTTCAGAACATAATACAGATGCACTCCATATTACTGTTACTGTTTTCAATTGATTAAATTAAATTTAACACAAGTTAAATTAAACGAACTTTATTTCATTAAATTTTGCACAGTTTCAAAATTTTGTTCAAAGATGTACCATCGAAATTTTCTTAATCGTGCGCTTTATCAGTAACCATTGTCGCCACACTTTCGTTTGAATTCAATTTAATTTTTCATTCCCTTTTGTTTCAACTTGCGATTGAACATAATTTCCAATTTCATGGAATTCTTTATCACACATTTTCTCTTTGTTTCCGTTTTTCTCACCTTTCGATAAAACACTCAGTTTCTAACTTAATTCAATTTTTCATCTTTCACGTTCTTCTTGTTTACAACTACGTCTACGTCATTTCACACACAATTGCAAGCACACCCACAGAAAAAAAAAAGAAACATAAATAACACGCAAACTCCACTTGACAATCGTTCCCAGTAACGTAATTACAAAGCGACGCGTCAGCAGCCCTGTTCACCTAATAAATGAATACCATTAATACAAATTCGTGACGGATCGGATCCTTTGGAAGGTAAAAAAAGGCCTCGTTAACCCAGTTGTCGATATTCGCAAGCGTGGCCTTGCTGCGCCTAATCGTATTGCAGATTTCGTCGCGTTCCTTGAGAATCACGCGGGCAGACGCGACACTGTGGCATCTGATTCGGTTAGGCGCCGCGTCTGCTCGGTTACCTTGACGGTCGCGATTTTATTCGCGGGAGCCACCGTTTGTCCTCTATGCTTTCAGGCCGATACGTAAAAGGACGAAAAACGACGTACCGGTTTCGCTCTGGCCACAGAAGAGAGCCGGTGTGTGCCAATAATAGAATCGTCCGCTTTTGGAGTCCGGCTTCTAACGGGCGCCAGGCCTGTTTCGTTCAGCCCGCTGCACAGATTTTCTCTATCTCTCCCTGTCTCTCCCGTTAATTCCGTTTAATCGAAACGTAGGGGAGCCTTGAGAGTTCTACGAGCGGTTTTCTGATCTCTCGTATTCTCGCGAACGGCCGTCGCCGCCGCGAATCCGTTTTGGATTAAAGCGGAATCGGGGCGCGAGCCTAACAAGATTCCCACGAAAATAGATTGATCGTCGCTGGCGCCGTTAATGAATGTGTGTTCCTTTCCTTTTAGCGACGCGCGTTTTCTCTGTCGCCTGGTTAGACGAACGATTACGGAATAGAAGGAATTGATAGCATACCGTTCCAGGTATCCTGATTCTTTTCGGTTCGTTTCACCGTAGTAGGTAGGCACGCTGACACGGAGAATAGTGTCCCCGAGGGATTTTTTTTTCGTATTTGCACTTTCAGAATAAATGTGTGCTAATTCATTTTTATTTGGGTTTTTAAAGTAAAGAATTTTTACAATTTTACAATGTGAATACTGGTAGTAAGAGAAATGCAGATATTGTGCTTGTGACATGAAATGCAGTGTGTTTTGTATTTTCACTTTCAAGATAAATGTGCGCTAATTCAGTTTTATTTGGGATTTTAAGGTAAACAATTTTTACAATTTTCCAATGTTAATAGAGTTAGTAAAAACAAGTGCAAATATTATTTTTGCGATATGAGATGCGGTGTGTTCTATGAAAGATTAATGTAGTATTCTAGGGTTAAGAGGTCATTCCAGTGTGGCAATTTTCTGATAGGTACAGTAACGCTTTGGATTGCACTGGTGCCATTCATAATATGCGCCATAACTTCATTCAAGTTGTATTTATATTAAAATGAAGCAAAATAACCAAGGAAATAAGAATAAATAAATTTTCAGAATAAAACTTTTCGGTTTTAAAAATTTCATTGCAGAAGTGTCTTTGTGTAAGAAAATCCTCAGACTGCGAAGGATTATGATAACCATTCGAAGTACTAAAATTCATATTTTTTGCGGGTTAGTCTGGTGTGATACCCAAAAAATTGAGCTATTTTCAATTATTGTGTTTCTAGAAGTATCGAAATTCTTGTGTAAACTAATATTTAAACTATTAAAATTAATGTTTCTTTACTGGTTAGCCTGGCGTGGTACCCAAAAAATTGACCAATTTTCAGTAAATATGAAGTATAATAGTACAAAACTGTTTATGATATATTAAGATACTCGTATAGAATATAAAATAATATTCAAAGTGTCGAGAAGGTATATAACAGTAAATTGAACAACGACATCTACCAGTACAGTTAGGCCAAACCAATGTTTTGGAACAGACCTTCTCGACATTTCACGATACAAGTCGCAGTCGTATACGAGAAATCGTACAGGAAGGACGCTAAGCTAAACATCAAACAACTGCGTGCAAACTTGGTTTAGGTATAATAACTTCCTATTGTAATTAAAATACAGCTATAGAAAATACTCCACGCATAAATTAACCACAGCACAAAGTACCACAATTAATTAACGCTTATTAATGTCGTTTTTGCGAGTTAATTCGGTGTGTTTTGAGACACCAAACGCTATAATTCTCATTTTATTTACAAAGTTCAATTTTTCTTTACGTTACATTTACTTAATTGAAGTACTTTACTACTTCTTAGAATATACATCGCGATTCTGTGTATTTAGGATAAGAAACGTTGGTTTAATTCGAGAATTTTTCGAGCAAATTCCACCGTGCTAATCTCACATTCGTCTCTTCTCTCGTTTCAGAGTCGCCGCCACCCCCATACTGCCATTTTCCCGACAGACTGAGACCCGAAGGTGAGTGTCTTCTTCTTTCACATTTTAATCGCATACGGTTGTGTATTTGCGGGCACATTCTGTTCTTGTCTGTACGTGGACACATGGAATGTAGCCACGCAATCGTTGGAGCGATAACTCATGTTTATTACTCGCGAACGTTTCGCATGCGAGTCGCGGAGATCGTCCTTTAACGCGTGTCACATCTCATGACCTAGCTCAAAACAAAAATTGTACGACGAACGTATCAAGGAAACACTGTTTACTATGTCTGAATTGGAATTGTGAATGCCGTGTAAAATTTTAAAATAGAGATTATGCAAATGTGGAAATTAACTTTTCACGTGAATTCGGTTGGAAAGGATCGATTAACGTGCAATTTTTGGATAATAGAGATTAAGTGAATATGGAGATTAATTTTTCACGTGAGTTCGTTTGGAAAAGGCGAGTTAACGTAGAATTTTTGCACGATTTAGAATTTTTTAGATGGTAGAGATTAAATAAATATGAATATTAATTTGGAACGGATTAGTTAACGCAAAATTTTTGCACGATTTAAAATTTTTTAGATAACAGAGATTAAATAGATATGGAAATTGATTTTTGACACGAATTCGTTTAGAAAGGATTTATTAATGCAAAATTTTACACAATTTCAACATTTTTAGATAATAGAGATTAATTTGGAAAGGATCAGTTAACGTAAAATTTTACACAATTTCAAAATTTTTAAATAGAGATCAAATAAATATGGGAATTAATTTTTGACACGAATTAATTTAGAAAGGATCAATTGACGTAAAATTTTATTCAATTTCAAAATTGTTAGATAACAGAGATTAAATAAACATGGAAATTAATTATTCACATAAATTCGTTTGGAACTTCTCTTGAATAAATTCTCTTGCAACGCGTGAAATATTTTATTTACGAGTTTATAATCATTCTAGCACGATAAAACGAATCGAAATCGTAGAATTGAACAAGTGTGTTAATGTAAAATTTTACACAATTTCAAAATTGTTAGATAACAGATTAAATAAACATGGAAATTAATTATTCACATAAATTCGTTTGGAACTTCTCTTGAATAAATTCTCTTGCAACGCGTGAAATATTTTATTTACGAGTTTATAATCATTCTAGCACGATAAAACGAATCGAAATCGTAGAATTGAACAAGTGTAGCGTTGTTTTGGGCTTGAGGTAAGATGCATTTGTAAATCAGTGTGACCAAGTACTATAAACAAATTCAGAGGGTGGAAAATTTGGTTATTGGATTTGAAACTGAACGCTTAAGACAAACTAATTAGCATTTATCCATTTACTCTTTTATCTAACACGTTCAAATTTTAGAAGACACGTAAAAATAACAATTTCATTATGCTCAGTTCTATTGAAATTATCGTTTGACAATTGTAATTTAATCCTCTTTACCTGGAAACACGCGATCGGTATAATCTTTTCTGCAATATTTACAATTTAAATTGCCGCAAAGGAGTTACAGTTAATTAGCATGTTGAAACACAAGAGCGACACACCCAGGTTAAAAGAAAAGGAAGCATAAGTAATCAGTTTTAACCATTTCAACACTCGACTGACTCGAACTCGAAAAATTCGATATATTTCAATTTTATCCACATTAGTGCTACATTACGCTATTTTTAATCGACCGCCAATCGATAAGCGCTGGAAGTAAGAAGTCGATTAAAAGATTTCCGGTCACTAATCACCAGCAGCAAAAACCACCTAATAGACTTCCGGGCAGCGAAGTGTTAACAAAAACTCAGCGTCGGTAGCTCTTTACTCTGGAAATATTCATTCTGACTAAGATACTTACGTGTTCTCGATCTGGAATTCTTCTAAATCCTTGTACACTTTTTCCCATATCGCAAGTACGTCCAAGCAAGAAACTCGTGTCACTATATTAACCATTCTAAGTAGGGTTGCCATATTTTTTCGTCGCTAAACCAAGACAAATGCGAAGAAAAAGGGACAGAAAGAAAATTTGAAAAAAAAAAGTGTAACCTTTGTTATAATAAGATAGTAATTAAGAGTATAGTAAGAATTTACTTAGGAGCCAAGTCATATTTTTCTGTAGATAAAACTCTCTTAGGAAATGTTCTAGTATTTTTAATTTATTCGTAGAATTTCGTACATCTTAGAGCTCTTTAAAAATTAAAAAGTGAGAAAATCGGGACGTAAAGTATAATTACAAATTCGCGTTAGAAGATGAATTAAAGGGCGATTGTTCGAAAACTTGAATTCTCGAGGTACAGTGGTAATTAACGCGGACGACAACCAGCTACGATTTTCCATTTTCATTCACGATCGATCCGTGTTGCACACGTGAAAAGATCATCTTATAACTCGAACGGACGTGTTGTAAGTCGATCTTATTGATTGCGACGAACCATATGGCTATAGGTTTCAGGGTATCGCCGTTTCCGCGGTCGACGTAGACCTGCCAGCAAACACTGATCTAGTTGATGGAAGCCAATCGGTCTTATCGTGCTTGTATCGCGAAAATTATAAGGCTGTACATACTTTAATTTGTATCGCAGACTCCGATTGCAAAAATATTTCATTTACACGCTCACGTTTCTCTTTTTATTCGAATTTTCACCGTTTCAGTCGTTCGACGTTAGTCATTTGGTTATGAAATCAATTGTCAGTTTGCGTTACACAGACTAAGATTGCAAAAATATTTCATTTACATGCTCACGTTTTTTTTTTTTATTTAAATTTTCAACGCTTTAGTCGTTTGATTGTAAAATCAATTTTTAGTTTGCGTTACACAGGCTAAGATTGCAAAAACGTTCGATTTACATAGTGAAATCTTTTTATTTAAATTTTCACCATTTTAGTCGTTTGACGTTACTTAGCAGGCTTGCTAATTTACGAAGATATTATGCTTTTCTGTTTACTGGCTTTCGTAATAAATTATCGAACTTAGAGCGCAGGAACTTTTGTCACATATTGTATTAGTATGTGTTTCGCGAAAGACTTGCTATCATTGTTGAAGAAAGCATTTATCGAGCACGCGACAGTGAGTGATATTTCGAACCTTCCAGAACTTACAAGAAATGTAAAAAATTCACGTTGAATTCACATTGAGCGAGGTTAATAGCGGAGTAAAGTTTTCAATCGAAAATCAAATTTTCATCAATGAAAATCAATTTTTTCCAATTACACTTCATATACCGACACACTGCCAATTGATTAGATAGATTTACTATTTTCTACCGAATGGAATTTCGTTCTCATACAGGTATGATCCTGATAAATTTTGTTCCATAAGTGTTTTCAATATTTTTCCATAATATTATCAAGTATAATGAACCATCGTTCAATGTTTCATTATTAATTTTTCCAACACAGGCTTTTTTACCAATTTTCTATAAACCTTGTCGGCAGTCTTAAAGATCTATTCAACTACAAATCGTTCTCCTGATAATATATTAAAATTCGAAACGAATATCGACAAATTAACAGTTCTAAATAAAATTCCAAACGAACATTAAAATAAAATTCAAAACGAATATTCACCCAATTAACAGTTCTTAAAAATAAAACTTCCATTAGGCGAAGAGAAAACCCTTAGATTCAACCCTCCAACAAAATAGGTACGCAGGAAAGTAGAATAAAGCGAGAAGAACGCGTACGTTCAGTCGGAAATGTTCATATCCGAAGAAATTTTTTCGTCTCGACCTGAAATTACGTTCCGTGCTATTTTTACAGCCACTTTTACAATGCTCGGTTCTGCGGCTGGTTTTGACTGGCTCGCTCCTTCTTTCTTCCTTTTCTCTTTTCGTGGCTGATCCTAAACTGGTTCTCGGGATCGATACGGGCACGGCTACACGCTGATCCTTTGGCCATCGACAGATTCGCCGAGGGAGAGACGCGTTCGTTCGATCTTTTCCTAGGTTGCGTAATAACGTTCGATATAGCGAAATCATCCTCGTTGTCCCTATCTCTTCGGGGAGATCGATGTCTCGCAGACGTCGCGACTTTCAATTAGAAGTCGAATACCGAACTTAGAAATCATTTCTGACGACGGAGTTGCGCAGATTAATCCGCTAACGCGGAAGTATTGAAAATTACTCCCGTTCGATCGTCACGTGACGCATATTAATGTTTTTCATATTTCATTACTCGCGATTTGTATGGAATTGTGCAGCTTTTGGGTATTTTTATCGTAAAGAAATTGTAATTTGGCGAAATGAAATTTAATCGAGAAGAATTCATTTTTTTTTTTTTCGTTGGGAAGCTATTTGTTTTTATTGCGAATTTTTATGGAATCGTTGGAAATTAGTAGATTTTTCCATTGAGATCGTACTGTTTACTGAAAGACTTCGATCCATCGTGGAAAATTCTGATGAAGTAATAGGTGGATTTAGTATTTTCGTATTACCTAGATAAGTACTTACGTAGATTTCCATGTAAGCTGCTTCGTTTCTAAGGATTCGAGTGGAGTTATTAATTCGATCACTTTTTAAGAAATTTAATAAAGTATAAATTCCATAAATTACGATTTTTATAGAATTATGCAGCTTTTCGTATTTTCATCGCGAACAATATAGAAATTGCCAATTTGGTTATCTAAGGATAGTGATATTCTGAAATAAAATTTAATTGCGACAAATTAATTTTCTTTCGTTTATTTTCGGTGAAACTGATTTTCACAATTTCCCTTAACTTCTTTTCATGAAAGCTATCTGCTGTTATCGTAAAACTAATTTTCACAATTTTCCTTAATTCCTTTTTATAAAAGCTACCTTCCTTTATTACGAAACGAATTTTCGCAGAACATCGTCTGTAATTAGCAGATTTTCCCCTTGAAATTATGCCGTTCCCCGAAGGACTCCGCGATCCACCGTGGAAAATTCTGACGAAGCAACATGTAGATTTCCCCTGTAAGATGCTTCAATTCCAAGGATTCGAACGCATCGTATGCCATTGTTTTCGAATGATTCTATTCAAACGATCGCGTTGAACTTCTTCCTTTTTTTTTTTTTTTT